GGAGAAAGCTTTCTATGTTGCTTCTGTAACAAATATTATTCCAGACTGGAATGATGAATTGAAATCTCAGGCCGTATCCTTCTGGTCTTAGCTTGCTTTGCAACTATATTCAGATCTGAGGCAGTTTCAAAATTGGTACATGGATTCTTTTTAAATCAATTGAATAACCGATATTGTGGATAAGGACAAAAAGATGCTTGAGAAATTTGCATTTGACCCAACCAAGAGGACTTCCTATGATATATATGACATCATTTGGAAGATGATAAAGAAGCTATAGGAACTAAGAAATTGAATAACAGATATTGTGGATAATTGAGAAATTTTCATTTAACCCAAGTAGATAGATGACTTCCTACGTTATATGTAACAGCACTTGGAAGATGATAAAAAAGTGATAGAAACTAAGAGGTCTTTCCTGTTTTTAGCTTGTCTAGTTTTTTTGTTTTTGTAGTATAAATGATTGTACTTTCTTTTTAGTTCTTCGTTGATCTTCTTTAAGCAATCAGGTTAGTTGGATTTTTGGCATCTTTCGAATTGTAAACATAGTGTTAGTGGTGACATATTGTAAGGAATTGACTCAATTCTCTCGATATCATACAGAATAAATTTGTGGGTCTATGTGTATTTGTTCTTTTTGTGGTTAAGGAAACGAAGTTATTGTACTGAAAAATGCTGAATACAGGAGAAGTTGCAGTAGTGATGTCATGCAGGGTATGATTATTTTTGGTTTTTATGAATCCATTGAAGAGTAATTCTACTATAAACAAATAATGAAATGTGCTAAACAAAATTGTTATTCATTAGGTCATTGGGGTGAATTCTGATTCTAATCACACGAAAAATAGGATTCGTATAATCATAACATCCCTGTGTTTGACGAACCCATTTGCCTTTATGTACTGGCACAAACTCAGAATGTAATATCTGGATTTTGGCAATGCCAATTTAAAAGATTCAATTGATTTTTAGATGTGTGATTTTATGAGTATTGTTATGAAGCAGCAGTTCATCATTGTGCTTTTAATTCCTTGCTAGTATAACATGTCTTCTGGGATAAATTTTGCTTCTCTGTTAAAGAGGAAGACAATTGATATTTTTTTGAGTTTAAACAACTCTGGTGACAAATGATTTTACAGGCATGGTAGAGCTACAAATTTAAAGATAAAGAATCATTATTTTTTATCAAGATAAAGAGCTACAAAACTCTCGATTAACCTACACTAATTTTTTATCAAGATGCAAATATATCTGTGTTAAGATTATTTTCTGAGTTTTATTATTCTAAAAAGAAAATTTCTTGTAAATTTCAATATATTTAAGTAGAAGAAAGCATTAATTTCTTGTGTCAGATCCAGCAAAGCCATAAAGAGTAAAACACAAGGTAAGTGGGTGAAACATATACAATTACAACAATGTCTTTAAAACCCATATAAAATCAAAGCATGTTTCTTTTCTGATCTAAAGATTCAGGTATGCAAAGGAAAAGAAAAGAGTTCAAAATTCATTCAACCCAATGGTTTTATTAACAGTACTTAAAAAACCAGAACACCACTTCAATCCACAAACATGTTGTTTATTAATGATTCAAAAGAGAAACCTACATCAGTAATAATAACAATGAATAAATAGTGAAAGAACGCACATGGACATGCACATTCACATCATGGAGGTAACCATAATTAAAGACAATAAATTGGATTTATGTGTATACATCATCATAAATTATATGTATGTATATATAGTTATAGTTATAAACAAAATGTACTAATGCATGCAATTAATAGCCTTCCATAAAAAAAATAATATTCAAACTTCACAAATTTACTACGTAAGTGGCAACTCAGCGACATCATTTAAAGAAATTACCCAAAAAAAAAACACACACACACCATGAACTTGACAAATCAGAGGATATCTATATGTCTCAGTATTTGTTTGTTTGATTTGCCTTTTTTTGTTTTCTTTCTAATACTCTTGGATTAGTACTGGGTTATGGGTCGGGTTGACTCAACGGATATTTCTTGACATGCCCGAGTCTGCTGCATTAAGTTTGTTCGTTTTTTTTTTTTTATTTTAATTTTAACAGTTAATTAGGAATAATTTAAAGAAGGGTTGGAAATAAAGTCTTCAATTTTTAGATTTTAAAAATAAGAATTAATTTTTAAATTGAAAGAGAGATTATGAAATTAAGGATTTTATTCTTTAAACAAGAAAAGATATAAATGCCATGAATCCACTGACTTTAAGAACAAATCCACCCAACTTGAAAACGCGTTTTCGCGTTGCCCTCTGAATAGCTTTAAGCTTTAAAAGCCACGCCCTTTGAATCTTTGCTTTTGGAAAGGAACGATTCAAGCTATCGTTCTCCTTTCCTATTTCTACATATTCCCTTTCCTATATTATTTATTGTTAATCCAGCTAATCCTCGATGCATCAAATAAGTTTTTTTTAATTTTAATATTTTTGTATATACCAGAATAAATACTTTGACTTTTTATTTTTTATTTTTTTGAATCATTTTCTTAAACTTTTAACTAAAAAATAATTATAAAAATTTATATAAAATTTCACGAAATACATTAAAATTATTTCACTTCAAAAACTCAAAAGAAACTCGTTGACTAAATTAATAAACTTAACTGAAATTTAATTAATTTTTAAAAGATTTATATTTGACAGAAATTTCTATTTCTATTTCTATTATAATCTATAATTTTTTAACATATAACATAATGTTTTAGAAATTGAAGAACATATTTTCTTTTAAATTTCTTAATTCATGGCAGATTTATCAATTTATTTGAAATCTATACTTAATAGGTTTACATAGATGTACCGGTTGGAGAGAGGAGAGAAATTTTTTTTAAATATGCAATATATATACTAACTCAAGAAAAAACCAATAGTAGAGCCACATTAGAAGATTCATAATTAAAGAGGTTTTCGATAATCACTAATAATTATTTTAAACCGCATTTAATCACTACGAGTAAAAACAGTTAGAAGGACAATAATAATAATGACATGTGAAATAGTGACATCTATTTTTAACAACCATTGTCATGCACATGGCAAGTACAAAGGAGATGACTTCCTAATGTGTCTACAAATTCCATTACAACTTACATAAATTTTATTCACTCGACAATCAGTTGCCAGTAGGAACAAATTCTTGTTTGTTAGTAAAAACTTCATTCCTATATTGATATTTTCTTTTAGTGTTATAATCAATAATTAATGTAAAATGTAAAAATAAAAAATATATAACTAATATAAATACTAATAATTAAGATAAATAACGAAAGTAAAATTAATGAAAAGTATTAGTAATTGTTATTGTTTGATATAAAGTATTTTATAATGTAAAATATGAGTTAAATAATTATTTTTAGATCATTTTTTAATTTAGTCTAACTTTTCAATTGATACAATTAAATTCTTAACTTTTCAAATTAATTCTCTACTTAGATTATTTGCTAAATTAAACATATTTTTAAACACATATTCGTCATATATAGTTAGTTACTTATTAAAATTATAACACGAATGATATATAAATTAATATAATTTTTGAAGTTTTCTTAATTTTATGGCATCACAAAACTTGATTCTTTGCGGACCATTTCTTCCATCTATCTTTTTCTCTACTTATCAACTCGAATTATGTAAATTAATACACCTACTCTGTTTAGCATTTGTTCCGACTTTCTACAAATTAAATCTATATAGCAAACATATCGTTAATTTCTTAGGACATAGTTATTACACAGTGATAATTTATTTAAAAATTTTATTTATTTTAATATATAGATTAATTAAATTAAGTTATTTGTTAAAAAAAAAAAGTTAAAAGAATTAATTGTAGCAACTGAAAAGGTTATTTTGTCCAAATTAAAAAGAGGAGCAAAAAATTAAGGACCAATTTTCAATTAATCCTATAAAATACTAACAAGAACTAAATATAAAAAATAATTTATGTAAATAAAATGAAAACATCACCTAGAGTGAGTAGTATTTTCTGACCTCATTACAAGTAAAATAATGAAAAGAAGATATAAAGGAAAGGAGGGAAAAAAGAGACAGAGATGGACAAATGCATACATGTATATATATATATATATATGTGTGTGTGTGTGTGTATACAAAAAAACAACAGAAACATGGAAGCATAATGTTGGGTCCCTCGTACGTAGTTCTTTGGATTTAGAAAAAAAATAAAAAAATCCTTAAATTATGACAATCCTACATATGACACCTTTTCATTTTCCTTTTATTTATTATATAAGATGTAAAATTCAAATTCAAGCATTTATAGTTATTAGCATACAATATATTTAATTAATAAAGTACATAAATTATTTTAAAAACAAATATAAGAGATTTGAGTTCAAAAAAATTACTAGTTTTACAATTTTTTTTTAAAAAATATTTTTTAAAATTTTAATTATTAGTGATGTGTGATAATTATATGAAACTTATATTGTAGAAAGAAAGAAAAAAAAAATTATTATTTTTTTTTTAGAGAAAAGAAAATTATAAGAAGTGAAAATTTTCTTTTTGTTTATATTCAAGTGCAAATGGGTATTTAGAAGTAGAAAAAAACCAAACCAAGAAGCATATCTAAATTATTTGCAAGCAATACCTAAAAAATAATTACTAAGACTTCATAAAAATATCTAAATTGTTTAAGGTTCTCATAAAGATAAAAGAATGTTAGGTGTTACATAATAATATCATTCTAATAGTTACATTATAATTATTTTTAACAACTCAAAAATTATATATATTTAAAAAAAAAAAACTGAAAATGGGTATTACAACTATTATTTTATTTATTATTCATTTATATTAATCTACTTCCATAAAGAAAATAAAATAAGGGAAAAAGATTGGAGCCCCATAAAGATTTGGGCCCCCAAAATGTCACCGGTGACCGCCGACACGAATCCTCATGCACTCGATGACCTACGCAGGGACACTTGGAGTTGCTGCTTGTAGTCATCTCCTTCTTAAATTCCCTCACCTGCCCATCTAACTGATCCCATCCTTCTCTTTAAATTCCAAGACTCTCTCTTCCTCTTCCAACCCATTCATCCTTTTCTCTTTACAGATTATAGGGTTGATTGTTTGATTCTTAAAGGCAACCAACCGCATACTCAAACCAAGAAATATAATGTTCAAATTCTTTGTGCTCTCAATTTTGTTCTTCTTCTTTTTTGGTTCTTGTTGGTGTAGCAATAATGTTTATCGCGAATATACTGTTGCTGCTACAAATTCTAGTGAAAGAGATATAGATGTTCTGCAAATCCAGTGTTTGAAAGTGCCCACATCTGAGTTTGTCAGCTCGTTGAAGTCCACCATTGATGCGATGAAATCAGTAACTTCCATTTTGGGTCAGTTTGGAAACTTGTTTGGTGATTTCCGCCTTTCAAATGCCATATCCGACTGCCTTGATTTGCTTGACTTTTCTTCTGATGAGTTGAGCTGGTCCATCTCGGCTTCGCAGAATCCCAACAGTACTCACCATCTTCCACTCCTTTTTTTTTTTTTTTTTTTTTTTTTTTTCCTTTCTTTCTTTCTTTGCTCTAAAATCCCACTGCTTTTACAAGAATCTCTTTGGTTAATTACATGCAGGTAAAAATAACAGTACAGGAGATGTTGGATACGATCTCAGAACATGGCTAAGTGCTGCACTTGCTAACCAAGACACATGCGTTGATGGGTTCGATGGGACAAACGGAATAGTAAAAAGTGTAGTTGCAGGTAGCGTCGGACAGGTGACTTCACTGGTTCGAGATCTCTTGACCATGGTTCAGCCACCGGACAAGTCTAACTCAAACTCCAAGGGCGGAGTCAGTCCACCGCCGATTGGAATCAAAGATGATCATGGCGATGAGTTTCCTTCGTGGGTCAAATCTGAGGATAGAAAATTGATAGAAGGAAATGGAGTAACGGCTGATGCTGTGGTGGCATCGGACGGATCTGGGGACTTCAGTAGCATAACGGATGCGGTGTTGGCAGCACCAGATTACAGCACTCGGCGTTATGTTATTTATGTTAAGAAGGGAATTTACAAAGAAAATGTGGAGATTAAGAAGAAGAAATGGAAGATTATGATGGTGGGAGATGGGATTGATGTTACTGTTATATCGGGTAACAGGAACTTCATTGATGGTTGGACCACCTTTAGATCGGCAACCTTTGGTAAGTACCCATTAATTACTCATCTTTTCCTTAATTTAATGCAACTTTTTCACAAGCTATTGCTTAGTTTATTCACTAGAAATTCATATATATTTTTTTTAAAAAAATTAAATAATGGATATACTTGATGAAAATGAAATAAGTTTTAGATGTTCCTCCCAATAAGAGTAGGGCATTTGGTGGTGGAGTTGTGGCCAACTATTAATAAAAACTGGTACAAGTCTAGTCGTCATTAAAAGCACCGCATCCCAATTTATTTGGTTGAAAAGAGAAATGGGAAAAAAAAGAAAAAAGCTTCGGGGGGGCAAAATATTTTTATATTTTAATAAACTAATTATAATATAATATAATAATAATATTATTTTATAAGTATATCAATTTAATTTAATTAATAGTTATTTTGAAATGTTTACATAAAATTTTATAGAAAATATTATGAATTAAATAACAATAAAGAGTGGAAACTTTTAAAAGGGATAAATACTATTTACCGTATATAATATATTTCTATCTCTCTCTCGTAATTTTTGTACTATCACAATTTGTGGACTCCAGAATTGTCCAGTTCTATACATGTGTAATGTCGGTCCAAATTGTTCGTGACACTTAACCTTTCTTAATAATGATTATAAAAAAAAATAAAAAAAAATTAGCTTACATTAAATGAATTTATTAAATAATAATGACGAGCTTGAAGTTTCATGTCAGCTGATTATTACGAACATTTGTGAATCTGACGTGTTTTGGCAAATAGATTTATACACTTTATAGGGACCATCTCCTTAAATTTCTATCGATCAAGAATTTATTAAAGTGGTGTATCTCATTTGTCAAGAAAATGCTACTCACATCATGATTTATATATTATTTTCACATTTTCTTCAGAAGAAAAAAAAAAAAAAAATTTATACAAATATGTATGTATTTCAAATGATATAATATTTGATAATGATTTGGTAAAAAAATGTGCAGCTGTGAGCGGTAGAGGATTCATAGCACGCGACATAACATTTGAAAACACAGCAGGACCGGAGAAACACCAAGCAGTAGCACTCCGATCTGATTCCGATCTCTCTGTTTTTTTCCGATGTGCCATGAGGGGTTACCAAGACACGCTCTACACCCACACCATGCGCCAATTCTACCGCGATTGCATAATCACAGGGACCGTAGATTTCATATTTGGGGATGGCACAGTAGTTTTGCAAAACTGCCAAATCCTAGCCAAACAAGGTTTACCAAATCAGAAAAACACTATTACAGCTCAAGGACGCAAGGACCCAAATCAGCCTTCAGGTTTCTCTATCCAGTTCTGCAATATCTCAGCAGACAAAGACTTGTTACCTAACGTAAACAAGACATCGACGTACCTTGGTCGGCCATGGAAACCGTACTCGAGAACCATAATCATGCAGTCGTATATGAGCAATGTTGTGAGACCAGAAGGGTGGCTTGAGTGGAATGGTGATTTTGCATTGGATACTTTGTATTATGGGGAGTACTTGAATTATGGAGAAGGATCTGGAGTTGGGAGAAGAGTTAAATGGCCAGGCTATCATGTTCTAAATAACTCTGCTCAGGCTAATAATTTCACTGTGGCTCGGTTTCTTGAAGGGAATCTATGGTTGCCTCCCACTGGTGTCAAGTACACCGCAGGGTTAGGGGTGTAAACAAATAATACCTTTAATTATTAATCCTCCCCGCATTCCCTTTTACAAACAATCAATATACATAGTATTTTTTTAGGGTTTTAGTATGTTGAGAGTTTTATAAATTACAATGCTTAATATTACCCATTTGAGATGTTTGACTGTATTCATTCAATCCATAATTATCTCCATCCAAATTATCATATAATTTCAAGAAGTTTGAAAATTTTATTATATATATATATATTTTCAGATTTTCAAGGTTGTTTATAAAACCGTCTTCGTACTGTAAACCCATTTGAGCCTTATCGTTTTCTTGTATAGAGGCCTGCCCGCCAAGTCCCATGTTTGAGTTTTTTCTTTAAATCATCTTGAGCTCCTCCATTATATATATAGCTATCCATTTCTGATTAGTTGCAGCTTGTTCATATCCATGATTGATCTTCATCTTTTGCATATCAAATTGTAACGGTTTCGAAAATTTAAAAGAAAATATATGTATTAAAAATTAAAAGTGCGGAAATAAAATAAAAATTCTGATTAACATCCCTTACACAATAACCAAAAACGTTTTCACGTATGAAAGAATAAACTAACTAATATAAATGGTAATAATGAATGCTATAAATAAAACTATGAAATCCTTAGGCGTCTACTCGTCGTCTTCCTGCGGGACGGGTTCGGGAACCAAATCCTCCTGATCTGAAACGGTTAACTAAGGAATGAGCTACACTAGCCCAGTAAAGACATCACACTATCTCACCGTCACAGAAGTAAAGGTTGGTAGAAAATAAAAATAACTAATGGAGCATAATTCATGATAAATTTATTTATCAATAATAAAATCCTTTACTGTCCACTTACCTCGGTGAGCTTTATGAAAACAACATAAGAAAACAATAACATTATAATATCATGAAATCATACAAGCTTTATAACATAACACATATCATACATTTGCATTTCAATCATCAGACAACAGATTTTCCTCTTTTATCAGTCTACTAGTATCCATAGGGGTCCCTGCTACACGTGAACCATTCACATTGATAACTTGATTTAGGGCCGTTCCCATACCCCGTCCGGTATGGGCGCCAAAAATCATAAACCTCAATACCCCGTCCGGTATGAAGGTGAAACGGGTCGTCCCCATACCCCGTCCGGTATGAGCGCTAAAATACATAAGGTCTCCATACCCCGTCCGATATGAGAGACCACGTTCCCGGTAGGGTTCCCTACGGACCTGGTCCGTCCACCATCTCCCAGGATATCTAGTTAGGCTGTCGACATCATCCATTTATCAATTCACATACATTTTTTCATTTTTCTTGGTCTCAATTATCCAATCAAATATAATCACGTAAACCAGTAATGAATACCAAACAAGACAACAACGAATTTCCAATAATTTAAACCATAATAAACGAAACCGTGATTCATGCATATGAAACCATAAAATAAATATATTAGATACCATGTTGCATTTTAAACTGTAAAATAGATCAAATAACAACTGACCAAAAAATACATCAGATTCGGGCTCCATTAGCAACCATAATTAATTATACACAATTCATGAAATACCGTTTTATCATTTGTTGAGCTTTCACACCGTGATAGAAAATAGGGTGAGAAATCCTTACTTGTTTCGGGGTCTGAAATCAGGTTCTCACCGCACCTACAGGCTGTCCCTAAATTTCCTTAATTTTTTTTCGGAAAACTAAAACACACTACCAGTACCTGCACGTGTCCCAAAAAACCCCCAAATCAGACCCAGGCCCCTTTTCGACCAATATCAAAATTCTGGCACGGCGGCTCCGCCGTGCTCAAGCGACGACACTGCCGCCCGCGGCGCCGATCCGCCTCGGGTTGACCGTTTTTGGCCGAATTCAGCCAAACTTGCATTGGTTCCGGCGATAAAACAACTCTAGGGCCCTTAGTGGGCCAAAAAATCACAAAAAATCGAGACTTACCGGCGGCGGAGCTCTCGGGTGCGGCGGCTTCTATGACGCAAGTCGCGATTTGATGTTTTGCTCCAGTCAACCTATAGAGAAAAGGACGGTATCACAGTGATATAAAAATTACATCAAACGGGAACCGAAAAGGGCTTCATCAGAGGCAAAAATTGAGAGAAGTCGCGGTGGTGCCGCTGGACTTCGGCGGTATTTTTCGGCCGATTGGCTGGTAGTTTGGCTCCGATTTGGCCATAGGCGGATTCAATATCGAAAAACGAGCCAAAGGGAGAAAATTTACCTCATTTGGCAGTCGAAAAATCCTCCGGTGTGGCGGCGGGTGGTGGCGGCCGACTCCTCCGATGACTGGTTCTTCTTCTCCAGCGAAGGTACTGGCGGCTAGGGTTTGGGGTCGGATGTGGGTGAGGTTATTTATAACCTTCCCCTTTTAATCTCAGCCATCCATCACGATTTAATCTGGGCCATCCGATCGCGATTAAAATGGGAATAAATCTGATCGTCCATCGCGATGCGATTTGGGCCGTCCGTGCGTGATTCAATCTGGATCGTCCGCACGCGTGAGATCTGGACCGTTCGATTGCGTGCACGCGGAGCGCCTACGTGGCTCTGTCCCACGTGGCCTCCCGCGTCAGCTTCTTTAGCACGTGGCATGTTCTGGTTGGCCGGGGCTGCTGACTGGGCTGCTGACGTGGCTGCTGACGTGGCACAACTTTTCTAAATTGCGTTTTGACCTTCAGTTTTTGATTTTCTTTTTAAAAACACCCCCATAATCTAAATTTTCACCCATTTTCCCCAAAATCAATTTCAATTAAATCCCAAAAATAATTTTACCCTATTTTATTATTATCATTATTATTTTTATTTATATTAAATTAAATTAAATTAAAATCTTATAAATTAAATATTAAAATAGAATAAAAATTAAACAAAAAATTCTAATGTAAATTAAAATAAATTAAATAATAAAAATAATAAATTTTGGATGTTATAACTCTCCCCCTCTTAAAGAAATTTGGTAAATTAAAATAAAATAAATAATAAAAATAATAAATTTTGGGTGTTACAACTCTCCCCCCCTTAAAGAAATTTGGTCTCCCAAATTTGCATCTTACTCTTGATCAAACAAATGGTGATACTGGGCTCTAAAGTCTGATTCTAGCTCCCAAATAGTCTCCATTGGGTGTGGTTCTGCCACACGACCTTTACAAATGATATTTTTCAGTTCCGGAGTATCCTACTCTTTCGGTCCGTGATACCGACTGGTACTTCTTCATAAGATAAGTCCTCTTGGAGTGAAAACGGTTCATGAACCAAAACATGAAAAGGGTCCGGGTTGTACTTATGTAGCATGGATACGTGGAACACATTGTGGACCTTGGAGAGCTTTGGCGGCAGTGCTAGTCTGTAGGCAGCAGTACCAATCCTGTCTAAGATTTCAAAAGGTCCAATAATTCGGGGGATCAATTTTCCCCTCCTGTCGAACCTACTAATTTCCTTGAAAGGAGTGACCTTAAGGAACACCCGGTCGCCTTTCTCAAACGCTAGATCTCTCATCTGGGTGTCCGCATAACTCTTCTGCATACTCTGAGTCGTCTGAATATTATTTCTGATTTTAACTATTTTATACGTGGTCTCCTCTACCAACTCCGGGCCGAACAATCTTCTATCACCCACTTCTTCCCAATAAATCAGTGATCTGCATGGACGCCCATATAACACCTCATACGGAGCCATGCCGATACTCGATTGGTAGCTGTTGTTGTAGGCAAACTCTATCAGGGGTAGATGGTCGTCCCAATAGCCCACAGAGTCAAGGACACAAGCTCAGAGCATATCCTCAAGTGTACGAATTGTCCTTTCTGATTGTCCAACAGTCTAAGGATGGAATGCAGTACTGAGAGACAACTTTATTTCAATGGCTTGCTGAAAGCTACTCCAAAACCGAGAAATGAACCTGGGGTCTCTGTCGGATAGCACTGTCACTGGAACTCCATACAATCTGATTATTTCCCGGATATACATTCTTGCCAACTTGTCCAAGGGGTTGGTCATCCTGATGGCCAAGAAGTGGAAATATTTGGTAAGCCGGTCAACAATTACCCAGATGGTGTCATGTCCTGAACATGACTTGGGTAATCCGGTCACGAAGTCCATGGTGATGTGTTCCCACTTCCACTCCGGGATCGGTAAAGGTTGAGGTAGCCCACCTGGGCGCTGATGCTCTGCCTTGACCTGCTGACATACCAAGCATTTAGATACAAAGTCGGCTATGTCTCTCTTCATCCCATTCCACCAAAACCGGGGTCGCATGCTTTGGTACATTTTGGTGCTTCCGGGATGCATGACAAATTTCGAGCTGTGGGACTCTATCATGATGTCTCTCTTTAACTCGCTGTCGTCCGGAACACACACTTTGTCTTGGAACCGGAGTAACCCATCGACAGATACTCGAAATTCTAAGCTCTCTCCCTGTTTTGTATCAATCTTGCGGGCTACTAGGGCGGGGTCGACTGATTGGGCTTTTCTTATTCTCTGTATTAACTCGGGTTAGACTGTCAGGCGGCCCAAACATGTGACTCTCCTCAGGTCCTGAAGTCGAACCTGTTGTGTGGCCACAATTTGCCTGCATTCTGAAACCATCAAATGGGGTAAGATACTTGCACTTTTTCTGCTGAGAGCGTCTGTTACCACGTTGCCCTTACCCGGATGGTATAAGATATCACAATCATAGTCTTTAAGGAGTTCCATCCACCTTCTCTGACGTATATTGAGATCCTTTTGAGTGAATATGTGATTCAGACTCTTGTGATCGGTATAGATATGGAAGGTCTCTCCGTATAAATAATGGCGCCAGGTTTTTAAGGCGTGTGTGATTGCGGCAAGTTCCAAGTCATGGGTGGGATAATTCTTCTCATGATTTTTTAACTGTCTGGACCCATATGCTATGACCTTCCCATGCTGCATCAGGACATAACCCAGACCTACATAGGAGGCATCACTATAAACTGTATATCCCCCCGATCCACTCGGTAAAGCCAGCACGGGTGCAGTAGTCAGCCACTTCTTTAATTC